CAGCTGCAGTCTATAGATGGTCAGAGTAGTGCTCAGCCTATAGAGTGCTCATCTCTCCCTCAAACAGTTTGCTGTGATGGTGGAACACTAGGAGTTTTGAAAGCTGGCTGTTAGGATATTCAAACTGAGCTTCCCAAACCTTTTCAACTAATGCCCCATGGTTTCACTGAATAGTTTATGGGACGTGCAGGGCTGGCATTAGCGGATAGCAAGCAGGGCAATTGCCTGAGGCCCCATGTCACAGGAGGCCTGCAAAGCTGTTATATGATTGGGCTCCGGTTCCTTAGTTTCTGCCCTATGCCCCAGCAAGTCTAATGCTGACCCTGGGGACATGGAAAAGAGATCCTCCTATCCTGAACATCACACAGCTGCCTTCAATAGATGCCTCAACACCATCCCTCCTGTGGCCCTCTGCAGAAAAGTCCTTCTTGAAGGAAAATAATTGTTTCCCTTCGTTTCTAAAGCTGGAGGAAGCTCGACACCTCTGAAAACTAGGCTCAAAAAGTGTTTCACATTAGGCACCTAAATATCAGTGGCCGCTTTCAGATATTCAGCCCTAAATCACTGCACAAGTTACACCTTCATCTAGTTCTATTCCTTTGCTTCTATGTGTATATTCATTTTAATAGTAGAAAAAAAAATGTAATATCAAACCAGAACTTCAAGTACATTATTCAATTTCATAAGTTGTGACCTGGAGGGCTAGACCAAGTGGTGCCCCAGGCAAGGCCCCCCCTCCTTCTATTTGTTAAACTTTTGAATACCTTATTTTTATTGCATTTGTAGCCCTCTTCATGATTTCAATGCACAATTTGCATGCATGATTTGTCTGCCATATAAGAGGATAAATTTGCATGCTAGGATCTGCAAGTCCGGCACCCCAGGAGGTCACCTGCCCCCTATATCTGGCCCTGGGGGCAGTGTTTTTACTGCTGCTCTTAGGTGTTATGGTAATACACCCACCCACAACCATCATCTTCATTTTATAGTTGCACCTAAAGGCCCTACATCAGATGATGGCTCCACTGTGCAAGGCATTGTGTAAATTTGTAGTAAAAGATAAATCTGATCTAATAAGCAGGAACTGAGATTTTAGAGATAACTAGGCCTAGGTTGCTAGCTTTAGGTATTGTAAAATTTAGTGCTGTATTGATTGTTAGACGCTTCATACAATCCAGATACACACGGCCTAGCACCTTTATCCCAGAAGCTCAACCCAAACATCAAGCCTGAGCGGACAAGGCTCTAAGTGCCATCCACTCACGTAAAAATGAGAGTTGGGGGATTTCATCACCTCTCAAGAGGAAGTCCCTGAATTGTCACAACACCCTTTGCATGAGGTAAGGGCTATTTGACAGATGGGGAAAACTGAGGAACAAGAAGAGTGAAGCGTCTTTACCAAGACACACAATAGGTCTAGAGCTAGGACTAGAACCCAGGAATCCCAGAACCCAGTGTTCTACTCTAACCACTAAAACCCACAACCAACTAATAAACCATACTCACTTAAGATGCCCTTCCTTTGCCTATTCTGAGAGGCTAGTCTGACCCAAAGAGACATCTTTTATCTTTTCCTTTGCCCTAGCAAGGCCCAAATGAACAGAATATTAAGTACATGCCTGAGTGCTTTACTGAAGATGGATAGACTTGGACAAATGCTTGAATGGCTGTCAAATTGGAACCTAAATCTCTTTTCTCCCATGCAAGTTTGCACACATATAATCCTGGAGCAATGCATCAGTCACATTATTTAATATTGTACTGTTCTTTATTTTAGGCTACGTTCTCGTGGCTTAGCATTAAGTCTTATCATTGCTGTTTTTAAATCTCTAATACCATTTGTTACATTTGAAGCCTACAAATATCAACAAATGCAGGTTTTCAGAAAAACAAACAAATAAAGTGATTGAAAAGGCAAGACAGGCCTATTATTTTAGTTAAGAAAAGCAGGAGTGCCCCATCTCCTTCCCCCACCCATACGTGTTTCTACTGCTCCAACGCCTTTTCCTTAGTGCGGGAGAATGAAATGTACATGGAAGGAAGTTATTCATCAAACAATTAGAAAGCCAAGACAGTAGGAGTTTTCCTAAATGAACATGATTTAGTGGAACAACAAAAGGAAAAAAACAGCGTCTGGAATTCCAATGCCATTCCTACATCTCCATGCTCTTGCAGTTAAATTTGTTAGACCATTTTAGTCATCTTCCACATAAAGCCCCAGCATGGAATACAAAAGTCAGAGGAAGGCTAAAGTTGCCATGTTGTACTGATACAGGAAACTAGTGCAGGAGGGCTCAATGGCTTGGCAATAAGCTAAAGATCCCTTTTACTGCTTGGTTTCCTGTTTGAGTATAAACCAAGTAGTTTGTGACCAACAGCTCTTGCCACATGATAGACATTTGCCATCTCCGGAGAGATGCAGTCCCTGGGATCTGCAGTAGCTCAGCACCAGGCTCTTGGGGGCTATACTCCAGTCCCTGAGCAGCCATGCATTCAGACTACAAACATATCACCACAAATGTAGCAGTCTTAGTAGAGACCCCAACTGCTGAATGACTCAAGGGTCTCAGACACCACAGCAGTATAAAAACCCAGATAGATAGGTTGACAAGTCAGGAACGGAACCTACATCGCAAGTCCCCACAACTTGTTGATCCATTAGACCACAGCTATCCCAACCTAAATTTCACATTAAGAAACAAGTCTCCCAAAACAATCCCAACATTAGAGATCATCAAAATTTTTCCCAATGGAAAAAGTAGTTTTGTCAGAGCAGATGCTTTCCATAGTACAATGTCGATTTCAACCAGAGAGTTATTTTCCAAAGGGAGATGCTAAATGAGAAATCTAATTTCAAAAATGTAAAACACCCACACCTTTTGTTTTGTAATCAAAATGAATTAACCGTTTCAGATTTGAAACTTTTTCATGCGTGAAACGGTTCGATATTGTGACTCGCTGTCCCACTTTCCAACAGGAACTAGTTTTGAAGGGTCAAAATTTCCCATTGGCTGAATATGCCATTTCTGGAACAGTTCCACATAAATGTTTCTTAATAATGTTATATTAGTTCTATTCAGCATAGTTGCAGTTGTGTTGGTCCTAGGATAGAAGAGAGTCATGTCATGGAGAAACATGTCTCTTACAAAAAGAAAAGGAGTACTTGTGGCACTTTAGAGACTAAATAAATTGGTTAGTCTCTAAGGTGCCACAAGTACTCCTTTTCTTTTTGCGAATACAGACTAACACGGCTGTTACTCTGAAACATGTCTCTTACATTAGTTCCATAATTTTATATTATGTTTGTCCTGTAATTTTACATTTACAAACACAGAGTAAGACATGTTCCCTGCCCTGCCATGCTTACAGTCATGCGTGTCAATGCTTTTGGGGGTGGGGGCACTGATCCAAGCCTATAATATAGGCTGCAAAAAGGCTGCTGCAGCCTACCCTGCTTTAAAGCCAGGATAAACGACATGGGTAGGAGCTCCTTTTTACACTAGTGTTAACTCATCCGCACTTGGGATTTGCACTGGCACAGCAAAGAGAAAAGCAGGGTTTACAAATGCTGAATGTTTACCACTCGTGCTCTGATTTTAAGGGGTTAACAGATACAATACTGAATTTTAAAAAGTGATTTAAATCAAGATACTTTTGAAAGCCTCCTAAGCCACTTTGGGTTACTGTACAGAGCTACTCATTCATTTGAACAGCTGTTTTACTTCTAGAGAAGCTTAGGGAGAAAGGGGGAGGGGGACACAAATCTAAACTGTTTTCTCTGTTAAAGCAGCAAGACGTAATAAATTAACGGTGATTTACATTAAATTCATGTGAAACTGTTTCAGGGTTTGTTTTGCTTTACCTGGAGACTGGTTCCCCTTTGAACGCTGTAGCCCTTGTATAAAATCTGTAATTAGGGTTTTTCTTTGTTGAGCTGAACAACCCAGGACTATAATGGTTCCCTCTACTGGCATAACATGTTACATTTCAGTCATTTTTAAAGCTACGGTTCCGTGTAGCCTAGTGGATACAGTCTGGGGATATCAGAAGACTGTGGTTCCAAACCCTTTTGGGGTTATGTTTTCATTCAGAATTCCTCAACGCCTGGTTTGAGGGTCTTGTTTACGGTGCCCAAGTCCTCAGTTTAATTAGGAAAAAGAAAAGGAGTACTTGTGGCACCTTAGAGACTAACCAATTTATTTGAGCATGAGCTTTCCTGAGCTACAGCTCACTTCAGGCTTCCTAAACAAAGACTAATTGATTCTAACAGGTATGACGTTTCTTAGGGTGCATAAAAATGCACCATGCGCTTTTGCAAGACAGGATGAGTCAAAAGAAAAGGAGGACTTGTGACACCTTAGAGACCAACTAATTTATTTGAGCATAAGCTTTGGTGAGCTACAGCTCCCTTAGTCGCCCTAAAGAATCTCCTGTTTTCCTTGGCCATTTAAACCGGGTCTCTTGGGGCAGTTGAGCAGGGCTGATTTTAACAAGAACTTGGCTTTTCCGGTACATGTTGAATGATGTTGATCAGATCAGCTAAATGCTCAGCTTCTGGGGTCCCCAGCGAGTAGGAGAAACACCTCGGGGGCTCCCTCTGGGATGGGCTGCCTCCTACTGACTAGTCGGGGAGGAGGGGGGACAGAAAGGCTTTTTAACAGAGGAGTTTCTACTCTCTACTGCCAATGCATCAGCTTGCTGGGGAGACACCAAACGCCGCATTTTTTAGATGCCCAGCGGGAGATAACCCCCAGCCACAGGGGTCAAGGGGACACTTGAGCGTTGTAGAAGTCGGTGCTTCCCCACGGGGGCGGGTACAGTCGCCGGAGAAAGTTTCCATTCAACGGGGACTCACGTTTCACCGAGAGAGAGAGAAGGGGGCCGCCGCCCGCCCTCCCCCCGGTGGACGTGGCCCTTGCTCCAGCCCTGCCGCTCAGTGACGCCCCCGGGCCCGCCGCCGCCGCCGGAGGAGGAGGAGGAGGCCGGGCGGGTTTACTCACCGGCGGCTGGCGAAGCCGCTGCCCGCGGATCCTGCGCCCGGCTCGGGATAGCTGTGCTGCAGCGTGGAGGCTGGGAACGGGTAGAGGAAACCGGTCCCTAGGGTACATCCAAGGAAACAGCCCCACCAGGGCAGGAAGAGAGCCAGGTTCATCTCTGCGGCTACAGATACAACCGAGAGGCGGACGGGGGGGTCACAGTGACATGCGACTAGCCGGGGTGGAGGGGGGGACGCGTGAGAATTTGGGGTTCTAGGGGCCGGAGCTCCCCGCAGGGCACCGATGGCGAGCTGCTGCTGCTCCTGGCTTTTAAAGGGAAGTCAAGCCCTCTCTGCGAGCTAAGCCCTGGCGGCAGCCTTTTCAAATTTGGTGAGGTTGGTGCAGTTCCGTCAAAGGGGGCGTGGGGTTTCTCCATTAACCCTTGGAGGACGTGGCCAGAGACCCCCGCGGCTCCGGCGCTTCCCTGGCGAGAGGCGGCTGCCGGGCTGAACGCGCGCACACGTGCTGAGGATCGCGGTGGAATTGAGCCTTGCAAGGGAAAGGGAGAACAGACGGGTCCACCTGGACCCGGCCACAGCCGGATTGTTTTTGGACCCAGCCAACCCCTCACATTTGCACTGCCTAAACGGAGAACAAGCCTAGCTATCCCTGTTCCTCCCCCAAAAAAACTTCCCCCCCCACCCCACCCCCCGGCAACAGTATCACAGAAACCCAGATTCGGCTCATTTGTGGCCCCAACTACCCAAATTCTGATGCTTAAACAGAGAACAAGTGGGGGGGCACACACACACAGACACCCCCCAAAGCACAAAACTCTGGATCTGGCACCTTGATCCCAACAACGTGTGGTCACAATCCTTAGTCCAAACTTCTGTTTGAGCGAAGAATAAGGTAGCCAGTCCTGTACTTTAATAATCTGGACTCTAAATTTCCCCAGCACAGCAAAAACTAACAAATCTCTCTGATTCTGAACCTGGATCCTGCCAAGTTTTAGCTGCAAACCCAGCTTGTGCCCTCAGAGTACAGAAAAGTGTTGCTTCTAATATTCCTCCAGAGCGGTCAGGACCCCAAGCACACCCAGATCCAAGGAAACTGCAAGATCTCTGATTTGGTATCGGTACCCTGCTGGATCCAGCTAATTTCTGAATGCAACACCCCCCCACACACACACAAATTATTTTCCTCCTCTACAACAGGATAATCCAAATCCCAATGAATCATGGTACAAGGAACCTCTCAGAGGCAAGGGATCAAACAAGGTTTTTGCAGCACCGTTGTACCAGGATGCCTTGGGACCTGGGCTTTTTAGGTGAAGTTGGAGCAGTGCTTCTATATCGTGATTGGGAAATTGCAGGGCAAATTGGGAAATTGCAGGGCACATGCTGTTAAAAATTCCCAGATTTGGGGAAATTTCCCAGGATATAGAAGCACTGAGTTGGAGTAGTTTAACTTGATCTCCCTGTAGGCCGCAAGATTGGAGAGCTTGGGAGAACCCAGCTTTTATCCAGACCTGCTATCTCGGTTTCAGTGGCTCAGGTGCCACGGCCCCAGGGTGTCTGACCCTTTCCATCCACGCTTCAAATAACTATGTGATTAATGGCCGTCTGTGACTTTTTTCAGGTGGATATGCTCATTTGTACCTCGCCTGTCTTTTGTGTTTTGGGGTAGGGAAGCACTACTGAGAAACTTGGAAAGTTTCTTCTCTACAGTCCTTTCCTGTTTATAATAGAGATTTTTGTGAACCCCCTTCATGATTGGGGGGGTGGAGGGATAGCTCAGTGGTTTGAGCATTGGCCTGCTAAACCCAGGGTTGTGAGTTCAATCCTTGAGGGGGCCATTTAGGGATCTGGGAGAAAAATTGGGGATTGGCCCTGCTTTGAGCAGCAGGTTGGACTAGATGACCTCCTGAGGTCCCTTCCAACCCTGATCTTCTATGTGCTTCTGATCAAACACCCTGCAATTTTATTGCACATTGGCAAGACTGTTAAATGCGAGTCTCAATAAACTTCCTTCCACTGGTTGAAGAAAAACCTCAAAATATTGCCTGTTGAAATCTACCTCAGTGGCAGCACAGTGGAATGGGCCTTTGTGTTCAGACTAAGAATCTGGTACTAAATAGCATCTCTTCTGAGTATTTATTATTTGTGTAGACCTGAACAAGAGGTCTCTGTCCCGAAAACCTTACAGCCAAAGTCAAATGCTGCAAATGTTTACGAATAGAGCATAATGCTTACACCAAGCGTCCCAATGACTTCAGCATTTCTGTGGATGTATGTTAGAGATTATTTTCCCCTCTCAATGCCCGCATAAACTCAGCAGCACAACCACCCAAGTTATAAACTAATGTTTCAGGTCATAAACCAGCCACTAACTGCGTGGAATTAGGAATGTTGTTGTACCCCTGTTCGTCTCAGGAGGTGAGAGTTATGAGGTAGGTGAGATAATATCTTTTATTGGACCAAATTCTGTTGGTGAGAGAGACAAGCTTTCAAAGTCCACAGGGCTCTTCTTTTCCAGGTTTTCTCTCCCCCCCCCCCCCATTTGTGCTGGAAATGGCCCACCTTGATTATCATACACATTGTAAGGAGAGTGATCACTTTAGATAAGCTATTACCAGCAGGAGAGTGGGGTGGGGGGAGAGAAAACCTTTTGTAGTGATAAACACCCATTTTTTCATGGTCTGTGTGTATAAGAACATCTTTTGTATTTTCCACGGTATGCATCCGATGAAGTGAGCTGTAGCTCACAAAAGCTTATGCTCAAATAAATTGGTCAGTCTCTAAGGTGCCACAAGTCCTCCTTTTCTTCTATTATGGGTAAATTGTTCCATAGTTGTCCACTACAGGAATCCAGCCATCTTTGTTTGAAGTATGTGATACCAACCACTGTCAGACAGAACACTGAACTAGAAAGATGACTGGTCTCATCTGGTGTGGCAATTTCTGTGTTCCCATTCTTTTAAAATAAGTTTATTTGCTGTGTTACCTTACTAAACTTTCTTATAATAGTGTACTGCTATATTGCATACTTCCCGCTTATTAATATTAAGATTCTTTATACCTGAAGGTAAATATCCAATGGCTAGAAACTGAAATTGGACAAATTCAGACTACAAATAAAGCATATGTTTTTAACACTGAATGTAATTAAACATTGGAGTAATTTACCTCGGGAGGTTGTATATTCTGTCACTTGAAATCTTTTAAATTCAAGACTGGTTGTTTTTTCTAAAAAATCTGCTCTAGTTCAACCAGAAGTTATGGGTTTGATGCAGGAATCACTGGGTAAAGACTAGATCATCATGGTCCCTTCTGACCTTAAAAATGTATTACATACAGACTTTGGTATTGATTTGGTTAGTATTTATTCAGGTCAATAAATCTTACTGCAGACTGAAGTCAGTATCTGCTTAGCATCTACTACTGAATTTCTTATGATCAATTGAAACAATGCTGCCCAGAGAACTAAACTTGGGAACATTAGCTTAATGGTGGATACATGGGCAGGATTGTTTTTTGCAACCCATCAGAATCACCATACATTACTCATGGCTGCCATAATTAACTCTCTCCATGAATGAGCAAGTCCCCAAGGTGGCTTTGGAAGTTTATGTTTTGATAAAAGAGGTGTATTGGCCACAGGTAAACTATTTAGGTTGCTAGAAACAAATTAACAACCATTTTAAAAAACTGGCTTTACTGTTCATGAAAGATACCAGATTGACAGCTCTTGAATTTGAAGTTCCCAGGGCCTGACTGTCCTTTCATTTATATCAGCTATAGACATTTACCAGCTATAGACAGTTCTGGTCATCCCAAATCAAACAACACAGTATTCAGGGTGGAGGTGTTTTACTGCTTTATATAATGGAATGATCATCTCATTATTTTATATTCCATTGTTTATACATCCTAACATTTACCTTGTCTTTTTCACATCAGCACTACACAATGAGTAGGTGTTTTCATTCCACTAGTCACAAATAAACTCAGGTCTCTTTTCCAAGTAGTCAGACATCAGGGATGTGGATAAATAGTTCATATCGTTCCTTCCAATGTGCACTTGTCAACATTGAATTTCATCTGCCATGGTGTTGCCCACTCATCTGGCTTTGTTAGATACCTGTGAAGTTCCTCACAATTTTCTAGTCTTTACTATACTAAACAATTTTTTGTCATCTGCATATTTGGCCACCTCAGTCTTCATTGACTCTTCAGTGTTTAATATATTATCGTTCATGATCTTGGTCTTAGTACAGGACCTTAGGATATCCCCTCTCCTTGCTGTGCCATGATAAGTATTCCAGAAGGTGGGAGTCTAGCAAATTATGACATTAGCCCTCTGCAGTAAGCTAGTATTATCTCCATTTTACAGATTGAGAAACTGAGACAGAGAAGTCAAGTGACTTTCCCAAGGTCACCAAGTTTCCTTCCTTAGTGTCCCCCTTCCCAGCTCTGACACCACAATCATTTTCCTGAAATTCCAAGAGTTAGAGGCAGAATGAAGAGAAGAACTTGGATGGCCTGACTCCTATTATTCTCGCACTAATCTTTAAATCATACTTGCCCTCTTTGCTGTGTGGATGATCTAAGATGAGACTGAAGAATTAGCTTCCAGGATGTTTTTGGAAAGAAGGAGAAAGAGTAATATCTACTGTGTGGGGAGAATTAAATATGACATTTAATGTTTAGTCCTTTGGATATGCGTAATGTAATCACATGCAATAGCAGTAATAAATGAATATTTTTTCTCCCCATGGTGCTTACGAGTGCTACATATCCTAACAATTTCTCAAAACTATGTTGATAAATTGGAAACACAGTGATGGAGGCAACAAAGACAGCCAACAAAAATATAATTCATTCACTTTATCAGGGAGATTAACTACGAGGAGAGAAGCCCTGAAATATGAACAGCCCTGTTCTTACAAACCAGACACACTATATTACAAGAGATAAAGCTACACATTTTTGAAGAGTATTAAACATATAGATGAAACATATGCTTATGCAACCACGGCTACATATATTTTTTGGAAATATTTAACTACCTCTGATCGAGAAGAGGAGGGTGTTGCATACTGGAAAAAATAGTAGTACAGAGGACTGAGTGAAGAACAGCAAGAACAGAATGGAAGAAAAGGCCAGATTCTGAACTCATTGTCCCCTCCAAGTCCATTGACTTCAGTGGAGTTACTTCTCATTTACAATGCTGTGAGAGCAGAATATAGCCCCAGAATTTCAGGAGTTACACACAGATGTTTTCTATCCTTCCTATGATTGTAAAAGTCACTAACTACTTGGGGGACAGCTGAATTTCGCTGGAGACCTTGGAAAGAATTGTGAATAAGCTTTATAGCGACTGCTCCTTGGATCATGCCAGTGAGTTTTTCCATGTAGACACTAGAAAGAAAGCAAAGCAAAAA